ATGAAACAAAACGAGCGTTATGGATTTTAATTCAAGGGTCTATTTAAAACATTATAAATAGTAAATGCTTACATTAATAAATTAGAGAGCAAGTACTTGGTTGTACTATGTTATAAGTGAATTTATAAAAGTAAAACACATAGCCTCGATATCCAACTTGTAAATAAGTAAATTTTGTTATATTTATTGTTATTTAGTATGAACATAATGAGTTGAATAGATTTGTAAGAAAATATATTTAATGATTACTTAATGTCGAGTGATGGGCACTAATCTGTTTATCGAACCTTACCAATCATTGTTTGTAAAGAAACTAGGCACATCATAGATACCTTTAACTGAGAAAATAATATCGATACCACAGTAACCATGAAACTAATTAATTTGAACACTTATACTGTCATTTAGTTATAACCCATAAACAATAAATTTTTATGTCAAAATATCAATAATAATATTGACAGCTGTGAGAAATATTCTGACCTTAAAATGTACACATCAAGTAAATTTCAAGTATTTCAATAATAGATAACAAGATACAAATTAAAAAAGCCAAACCATGTTCTTAAACGTACTCTGTGCTTCAATAATAAGAATATGCATAATGAAAATTATACGAATCATCTATACATTGTGTTATTGATTCATGTGAAATGCATTTTTCAATAATTGTCTATGTGTTTTTATATCGAGGTCAACTATTATCATTATGATTTCATATTTTGTTAAGTGCATCTTGATAAATATTTTTCCATAAATCAGTTCTCAAAGTTGCAGTTGGTCAAGTTTAAAACTGTTATATATTTATATATATAAATACATATCGATTTCTCTATATCCTTACAATTAACATTTTAACAGGCTACTCATTTTACAGGTTACACATTCAGCTATTTTATAATCATATTTAATGAGTAAATTATAAGTAATCGTATGACATGATTCAGATTCAGATTTGTATAGTAAGGACAGAAGGCCTACGGCCTATGTTATTCCTTTTCTAGTATGCTTCTGTGTGTCCAGTCTTCTCTTGAAAGAGTCAATGGAAGGTGCAGACACCACAACTTCGGGCAGCAGGTTCCAAATATTGGTGACTCGGTGTGAAAACCTGTATGCCGCGGGCATTTTGTTAGTTCTTGACTTTTCTACTCGCCTGCTATGTCCTCTGAAATGTCCCGATCTAGTGGGGAGAAAAAGAGAGAATATGTTAGGTCTGAAATCATTTCTCAGTATTCTGTACATCAAAATTAGATCTCAACTTAGTCTGCGATAGGAGAGAGTAAAGAGGTTCAACTTTTCAAGCCGCTCTTTGTATGACATATTTACTTTGATGTACATTTTATGTTGAGATCAAGTCAATCTTTATAATGAAACAAAATATGACTAATTTCAAAATATTATGAAATTATATGTGTTTAATCGTTTGATATGATAACAAACCGTGAGCTTATAGCATTGCGTATTACAACACTAATCTTTATATAGAACATTGTCATGAAAGTTTCTCTAGTAAAAACAAATCTCCGCAGTCTGTATTATCATCAGATCAATTTATACAATATTCAACTTATAATCCAACGTTTTTTAAGTAGGTAAAAAAATGAATATGATGAGAATAAAATTGAAATTAGTCATTTAATATACTGAAATCTTAAGCATTACAGTTAATGTTGTTGTCAACCTTATCACTTATCATATATTTTACTTTTGATCCTGATGTTCTATTAAACTTTTACACATATAGACCTATCTCATAATCTCCAGGGTTTCTATTTCACATTATTTCCTGATCGATAAATAATGTCATTAAACTTCGAATTGATACTTCAATACAAAACAATTCTACATCTTCTTGACTAAGTTCATGTTATTTATATAGTGTTTTTCATCATTATTATTGTTATGACATTCAATTATCATGAACATTTAATATCATATTTGAACAGGATAGACATTTTTAACCATTTAAGAGAAATTTATCTCACTGATTGAAATCATGAGTCAATTGAAGTTAGACCACCATGGAAAATCTGGAAGCACTGGACAGCCGTTTCGTCCTAGTATGGGACTCCTCAGAAGTGCGCATCCATGATACCGCACACCGCGAGATTCGAACTCACGATCTATCAGTCTCGCGCAAGGCGCTTAACCAACTAGACCACTGATTTCAATCAGTGAAATTTCTAAAATCTCCACAAAACCCCTTCAGAAATTTATCTAATAAAAAAATCTATCCAATTTATTTGATTTTTTTGTTTTCAATTTAAAAGGGCTTCATATCACTATGATTATCAATCTTGTAATAAAATCAAGTTTCTATGTCATTTTTTTGTTACACAGTAACTATATACTCTGCTTCAATGTGGTAAACTCGGAAAAGGCCAAAAAAGAATTGTAAAGTCATCTCTATGAAAGAACATTAATATTTATATTTCAGATCTAAGCTAAATAGAATAATGTATAAATTTTGAGTAAAAGAAAAAAACGTACATTTAAAATCAATTAACTGATTAGTTTCAATGTAAATTACTTTTTATTACCAATGAATATTCCTATGAAAGAAAACACAAAGATGGTAGTTACATTTTTTTCATTACCTTTAGTTCATGAGATGGATTCATTTATATATTAGTTATTAAGAGGTTATTTTAAATAATGATTATACATAAGTCAAAATAGAGAATTTGATATCATGTTAGGTAGTTCGGTAGGAAGTAAGATTGATTACAACGGTTAGTCATTACCAATTGAACATACTTTTTTCTTGAGTTCTGCACTAGCTGATTTTATAACCTTAAGTCAAAATGTTTTTTTTTGTGAATAATTATTAAAAACTAATGGTCCAGTCAATAATGTATATGTATTAGATTAAGAGAAATAATGGTAAGACTATAATTTATGAGCGACGCTAGACTGACCTTGAGAGTGTCTACCTGATAACTAGGACCGCGTGAGGGCAATAAATTAGTGTGAGGAATTCGAATTATGATTTACAGTTGATGGTTAAGGTTAGGAATTAGATATACGGTTTTCGTCATGAACTAACATCAACTATAATGCCGAAACTTTATTTAACCAAATGGACGAGTAAATTTCGAGCCAAAATCCAATACCTGTTATCTAATACCTAATTGGTTCGTCCATAAATTATAATCTCGCCGAAATAATTTACTTAGATATACGATCTATGTACTAGATACGGTTAAATATCTGACTGTTAAATCATGAGAATATAACATTTAAATACTCTGAGAAATATATATTTTGTTAAATCCAATCCTAATAACCAGAATAATCCACAACTTGATATAATCTATTTTAAATAAGGCAGCATAATAAACTTCATAGGTTTCATGTGTCTAATACTTCTAAAAGATACCTTAACTTTCAAAGTCTTGATAAAATTTTTTTCTTTTGTCTTTGATATGTGAAATTTCAAACTTTCATCTCAACTGTTGTTTGATAAGTTTATGATGAAGAACAAAGTTGCCTTAGTATTTTTGTAATTAAATATACAATCAATTTGATTTGATTTCATTATCAACTGGTATTAGTTTATGAGTGAATTTCATTTATCTGAAATAATTTCCCAGTACTATTCAAACACATCATAATCTTAAACATAAGATAAAAAACTCTAACATATAATGGGAAATGGATAAGAAGTGGTGTGATAATCCATAGGTTCAATTGGAGAATACTAATATAGTGACCGTGAACACAAGCTGGGGCAATCGAATGTATTTGAACACAAAATTACAGAACAAAATGTCAGTCAATCGTTTTAGACTTCACTGTTTTTTCGTTTCCAGATCATTCGTTTTTTGTTCTCGTTCTCTTTTCTTTGATCTTCTTAACCTTCTGCCTCTAAACATTTCACTTTCAATTGATGATACATAATACTTATATGAATCGACATCAATAACACACACCACAACAGTGCGCATCCACGATCTTGCCCAAAGGATTCAAATCCGGGTTCCAGTTTCAGAGTGAACATCACCTGTGAGATGCAGGTACATCCAAGTGAAGAGTCTCAAATAGGACGAAACGTGCCTCCTGGATTCCACTGCTAGCCATTATCCGTCTTTGCTTAATAAACTTAGACTTAAATTGACTTTTGTTTATATCATTTATATCAGTAACTCCTTGCATGTTATATTTGTTTAAACTCATTTTAAATCTACAAGATACCAGAAAAAAAATCAGTTGAAAATCAACTAGTTAATTTCCTCCCCCCCCCCCGAGAAAAACTTTTCTTTTTTCAGTAGATTTTTTGAATATTTTGGATATTTCATTTTTTTTCTTTTTGTTGATTTAGCACAGTAATCTACGTTTACCTTCTCTATTTAATTATCATTCTAAAAAAATATTCGATATGAACTAAGTTTTAACCCATTTTTGTTGTTGTTTTGTTAATGCACAGTAGGAGGTCTACTATTCACCTTAATCATTTTACAACTTATTTGCTATTAGACGTAGCAATAAAATTAAGTTGTGTATTTTACTTCATAAGAAAGGCAATGAAAAGGCGTAATCACTAGATATTCTTCTATCCCATTTATTTTTTTACAAAAAAACCGTTTACTGTAAGATAGATAGATAGATATATAAGATTTCATTAGACTCTTATTTCATGTTCCCTACACAATTCATCTTCCTTTATTATATTTTCTCAGTTTTCTTTTCTTTTTTTTTAAGGTCAGAACCAAAATGAATAAATTTAAATAAACGTAATTATCTCAAATTGTTTGCTCAGTGAAATTATTTTCTTTTTCATTTTTGCTTTAAAAAAAATAGTCATTCTTCTTTAGTAACTTTGGGGTTAAAGGTTATATTAATCAATATAAAGTTTGTTTTCTAAATCTAAACTAGATGAGCAAACACTTTGGCACACCTTAAGGTCAGTTAAGATTAATGAATCATATTGTTTTTATTCATTTTCTTATGAGTATATCTTCTTTCTTTTTTGTTTTACTTTTGTTTCGACGAAAAATCAGATCGAAGAGATTGTGAATAACTTAATGAAATTTCCAGTTCAACTTCGTGATAAATGCAGTCAATTGTCTCCTGGATTTTTGTACTATGATGAAGTAAGCTTATATAATGCATGTATTAAAATGCAGTTTTTGTAGACGTTTTAAAATATGAATTTTTATATTATCAGATAGTACTTTATGGTTAAATTGAACTTAATGGTGAGCAATATTATCTTCAAAGGTGAACCCTTTCTCAAAAAGACAAATGAGTAGTCAGCTGATTTCGTTTTATTATGTATGAATTCAGTATTCAAGTAAAATGACCGTAAATGTGAATATTATCGAAGTCAGTAATTTAATGACAGAATAACTATTTGAGTGGTGATTGATGTACAGGATTCATGAAAGATGACTGTTAAAATTTGTTCTTAAATTAATTGATTTTTAAAACAGTAGTTATAGATCATAGTCAATTGTTTTTAACTTTATAGATTCGAGGTTAATAGATGGATAAATTGTTTAAGCTTGGCGACTTTCATTATCAGCTTAACTCTTGATTGATGCTTATTGTTTAAATAATGCCAACAAACTTAAAGATACAATATTCGAGAAGCTCAGTTTGCAGATTAAGTTGAAACTGAACTTTGAAAATGGGAATATCAACTTAACGTGTTGAATAGCAACTCTCTTAAATTGATTTACAAAACAAAAATCATGTAAATTAATCATTAAAAAAAACGATCAAAATCTCTTTAGTGTTTAAGTGATAAACTAGCCTCTGCACCATCGATTTATTACTTTAGTTTCAATGATTTCAAATATTTAGATGTAAATAGTGTGAGCATTTAGTAAACTAAAACAAAGTTTGAGGAAGATGAAGGACGTATTAGGTAACAATTGATGACGATTATTCAGTCTACAAAAGCTAACATCAAATGAAGAATATTTTGAAATTAGGAAATTCAGAAAAGGATTTTAGTCTTACAAGTTACTTTTGTATTAATCACGTGGCAACAATAAAGCGAATAAAAGCAAATCTTGACTAATGACATTCATTCATCTAAAAAGTATATCAGGTAACAGCGACGTCATTTAATGTTGGTCAGTATATACTAAGGAGAGTGTAGATTTTTTAATTGTAAACGATTGAATTCCAACATAAATGTCTGACTAAATGATATCAGCATCAACTTTTTCTTGTACCTAGTCATAGACAGAAACGATTAAAATATGTAATTCTACAACTCAGCAAATATTAAATACTTCCCCATTTGAGGATAAGGGTTCAGGAATGATGTGCTAAATCAAATCAAGCTGTATGTGTTTCTTCTTATTAAACTTATCTAAAATATGTAAGTATTACTTTTACAAGTTGTCTAATAGAAACCCATTTTGTCATTTATTTTTGATAGTGTGAACAGGCTTGCGATTCAGATCGCTTTTACAGTGACTGCATAAAAATGTGCGAGGTATGTTTCTTTAATTATAATGTAATATACATGTTTGCATTATGCTATTTTTAAAAATTGTGCTTTATTTTCTCCATTTCTTTGAGTATCATTTCCAACTATATTCACTAAACATCTGTAAATGATGATTTCTTCATTATTCAATTCATCAATAGAATATTCCATTCAGAAAGTTTTTTCATCAATGAGTGAATGCTGATAACTTTTTTGTTTTCCCATATTCTATTTAAAACTAGCTTACTTCACTTACAATTACAAAGAGAACAGTTAATTTTATTAATTACTGTAATTATCACTTACACTCACATATCTCCTCTTTCCTTTTATGAAGAACTTTGTGATGACTCATAGAATAATGTATATATATACAAAGTGACTCTGAAGTCGTTATCACATTTTATACTACTTACCACGATAGTTTTGCGATTAGCAAAGTCGTGAAAATGTTTTGATACAAATTCTAACCTCAGTTGTACCAGTATGTTCTGAGGTCAGTTGTATGTATAGAAAATCATCTGACTTTTTTGATTACTTATGAACTGGAAGCATCTTAAAATTTATGTAAAGATTTCATTCTAATCGAGTAACTTCATCACAACAAGCATCAACTTGTTATAAATTAAACTAAATAAGTTACTAAAGAATTACCACTGTTAAAACAAAGAATACTAATACTGGAATGTTCAGTACACAACAATTAAAACGTTAATTTTACTAAACTCCTTATAATCATGGTAAGTGTTAACAGATAAATGTAAAATTATATTCAACGCAAGATTCATTACAAACGATATTTTGTGAAACCTTATATTGATTATGTAACACCTAGTAAACTATCAATGACCATAGCTCTAATATGAACAGATGACCTGATAACTTTTTCTCCACAAACGTTCAAGCCTACTAAAGAAAATCTCCATCTAAAAATGTGTATCTTCAAGTTTCATCTGACGTTTCTGTGTTGTTATGTAAAGCATTAGATTTTTACTGCCATATTTCGTTACAAATGTAACCATTATCGGTAGACAAAATTCAATATAAAACTCATTGTCATATTTTTCTTATTGTCTTTCAAAAACTACTTGACAAATTCTACAATGAGATGACAATAGATATAAATGTTTATATGTTCATTCTGAACAATCACTTTACTTTGTTAATGTGAATTTCGATATGATTGTAATAACTGAAAAGGTTGATTTTAAACTTATACCACAGCTTTACGAAGAATTAATCTAGGTTGATAAAACTGGAGCTTACACTGTTTTTTTATTAATTTTTTGATTGTGTAAATGTCAGAAACAGTCAAATTGACGATTTTCTGTCCAGTAAACTATTCATGAAAACTGTGGATTGGTGTAGATTTAGTGTGATATTACACCTAACATTACATGCTTTTGTGAAAGTAATAATATTATTCAAATATTTAAAATTCAGCCAATTTAGTGAATTAGTTATACTTATATCCATGTGGTTATTGCTAAGTTTGAACGTATGAATTATCTAAACTTACGATGGAACATTTGTTATCTAGTATTATGATGAATAACAAATTTGTCATAAGTAATATTGAAAGTATTATTTTTTACAAACTACACACGATATTCAATACTATTTACAAAATAGAAGATTGAAAATATTAGAAAAAACAAACAAACATAAACAACACGAAACAAACTTGCAAAACTGTCAGAGTGTAGTCTCGCAGATACTAAATAACCAATCTCACATTATGTTCTTTCGTTTTTTTAATACTAAAATGACATTTTCTAGGTAAATTTACATGAAGCAGTTTTAGTCAAATAAATTTCCAAATGAATAATTAGATAATGAATAGATAGGTAGAGAAGTGTATCTACCTCAGACATTGGATGAATATTTGCGTATCTGTACATGGATCGACGGAAGTTAGACATTAACACCGTTGGATACCGGCTCAGTGGTCTAGAGGTCAAGCGTTCGCGAGCAAGATCGCGGATGTGCAATGGTGAGGAGTAGTATATTTTAGGACAAAACGACCGTTCACTGCTCCCAGGTTTTCAATGGCAGTCTAACGTCAATCGATTCATGATCACAATAAAATAATAATAACCTAATCACATAGTCATAGGGAGAAAATATAATCTGACAAGTTCATAATACCATAAATATCTTAATTATGAACATAAAAAGAACAAAAGTATAAGATAGTACTTATTTGTAACTTATTATTAAAACTTTACAAGATAAGGACCATTAATTATAGTGAACAATATAAAGAACTATGTAGTACAGTGTGAGAAAGTTAACTTAAACAAATTTTTTGTCGTTGTGTATATATTCATTAGATCTAATATTAGAAGGGTGAGTTGTAATGTCAAATATAGGTGTTTTAGTGTGTTTTTTAGTTACTTTTACGATAATATGAATAAAATTCATTTTTTATCCAAATGTGTCAAATAATTTCAGAAGTAGATTTAACCTTATTGAATATGGACTCAATTTCATTTTGCTCACTTTCTGATCGGAATACTGAAAATGAGCATAGATGTTGAAGCACTTATATAGTTATTTGTGTGATACTAATGTGGTGTGTACTACTGATGCCGACAGATATAAGTAGTATCATAAATCGAAAGAGAAATGTCTGGAGGCAGAAGATTAAAAAGTTCAAAGGAAAGAGAACGAGAACAAAGAATGATTGATGTGGAAACGAAAGAACAATGAATTCCGAGACGATTGACTGATATTTGCAAAAGGAATAATGAGATTAGAGACGGTTGATTAACTTTTCGCAAATGAAGTATTTATCGTATAATTTTCAGATTTTACTAAGATGTTCTGTTATTTGTGTTCAAATGCATTCGATTGTCTCCACTTGTGTTCTCGTTTGCTACACTAATCATTATCTTATTACACAGTGAATACATGCCATCTAGTGCTAACACAAAGGTTGCAAATGCTAATTATTCCAATGACTAATTTAAAACGATGCATATAAGTAGACGGTTTCATAAACTGTGTAATTTAATAATCAGTTCAATACACTTAGATTAAATGATTTCTTTATTGTTTAGTCTGGTGATTCACCTAGTGGATGGTCATGTCTTACTGGTTGCCGATCCTTAGACGCAGCATTGAAGAGACGCTCTGGTGATTGCCCCGAACAGATTGGCCTTGCAATTCACCGCATACCAAATTTAGTATCTGTCAAAAATGATGTTCAGAATTATCCATCACATGAGTCTCCCGAATCTTCACAGTTTAATTTGGACAAACCCATCTCTTTACCTGAGAGCGACAACGGATTAAAAACCAATATGCTGGAGAATTCTTGGTTTACACATCATAGCAGTGCAATTAATGAAATAACCAGCTGCACAGTTGATGCTGAATGTCCACAAAAGCAAGATAAATGCTGTCAATCACAATGCAAACAAGCCTTATTTAATAAAGGTAATTTCATATAGAAGGTTAAAATAATAACGTGAAAATAATTTAAAAGCCTTTGTAATTAAATTTTATCCTTAAGAGTTTGAATCTTCGTGTTTCCAGATACCACTGCTAGCTATATCAAAATTTGCTAAAACAAATGTCACTGCATATGTTTTCATTTTCAAATTGAATCACAACTTTAGTAATGAAATCGATGAGAAATATCTTCCAGAACAGTTAATCTTATCACACGTTTACATTTTTCAAATCTACGAAAAGATAACCGTCTAAAACTGAGTGGAAAAACGAAGATTAATAATAAAAGGGTTTAAACTTTATCTAATAAAGGCACCCCATTTTCCTTACTAGAAATAATGAGGTAATAGAAAAGATTTGTAGCGCTTAAAGATTATTTCGATGGACTTTTGTTCTCTTATCTGGATTGTTTGGTTGTGGAGCTTTCATTGTTCTTCTAAACGACGTCGTCCGCTTCACTTCTACCTGAAGTTTGTGCTGACAATGTCGTTCAGAAGAACTATGAAAGCTAACAGAACAAAACTTCATCAGGAATAATGAGAACTATAATATGGAGGCCATAAGGTCTCGTGCATGTTTCAATATAACTCAAAACAATAGAATGCTTTCAAAATGTTTGTTGAAGTAATTGTCATGAAATTTTACTATTGTACGCCCATAATAATATTTAAACAAAGAATATTCTCCCTTTTGTTTGACAGTTATGATATTTTGCCACTTAACTATGAAAGAGTTGACAGATTTATTCTAAAATAAATTAATATTACTTTAAGATTATATCTGAAATTCTATTTAAACGCAGTATTAGAAACAGAAATAAGAAAATTCTAATTAAAACCAACTAACCTATATTCGCTTTCATAATATAGACAACTCATTGGTCTAGAAGTGACTACAAGAACGTAATAGAACAGAGTTTGTATTTGTTTGACCTGCACTGTGATTAAATTCAATCAATAATTATTTAAATGAAAGTAATTTGCAAATTCAGTGTTGGCATTATGACGCTTATCGTCTAAAAACGATCTGTATAACGTTTTTGCATTAAATCCAAATCGGTATAAATACAAATGAGCATAGAATTTAGATGGATGAATGATATTAGATGATATAGGGACACTTCGATTTGGCACAATCGTAGAAAAACGAAAAATGAAACTTGAATATTTTTCTATTTTATAATTTAAGGATTAGTCGGATGACTGAAGCTGATGAGCGTAACTTTCTCATCATGTTTCCCACCTTAACAAAGCTACACATTTTTAAGAGATTCATAAAAATTTTATTCAGCTCAGTTTAAAACAAACGTCATTTAACATAACCAACATCAATACTTATAAATACGTTAGTCTAAAAATAAACCAGGAATCTCGATGATACTTCGTATTTAGTGACTAAAAAATCTTGAAATTTATGGTACATCACAGTTGTAATTTGAGTATATCACTTATTTTCTGTTTTATGCTTGAATTTGACAGCAATCTTGCCCCCGATTCCAACAGTACGTATTTTGGAAGAAAAACATCCGCCATCGTTTCTTGTTTCTTGGAATAATAACGAAATAGAAGTCAGCAATCTCAGCTTACCAACCGTGTACGTACTACAAGTCAAATCCTATTTTGGCCCAGAATATGATAACCGTATGTCAAGTCCCTGGAAAACATTAGTTGTGGTGAGTGAATGTATTTTTTAAAATTGAATGCTTTTGAAACGTGTTAGCGGTTAAATTCGCTCATATCATATGATTACAGAGTTAACGTGACCTATCTTCATGATAGTTGCCTCACAATTATAGGAACAAGTACTTATAACTTTAGGCATTCTATGTTAGGTAGACTAACGACTAAACATTCATTTTCCTTTAAAACCAAGTTTCTAATTATTATCGATAAAGCTTAAGTCTTAGACGTTTGAAAATATTTAGCAAGAGATTTTTAACATGATTTCACATCATATAGTACCTTTAATTAAATATTCTTAAATAATAACAATTGTATTTGAATTCATGAGTCAATTAAAGCTAGACCATTATAGAAAACCTGAAAACACTGGACGGCCGTTTCGTCCTAGTATGGGATTCCTCAATAGTGCGCATCTACGAACTCGCTCATGGGATTTGAACCCAGAACGTTCCGTCTCGTAATTGAGCGCTTAACCTCTATACCACTGAGCCGTCCGTCATCCAACGGCGTTGATGTTTAACTTCGAATGATCTATGATCATTTGTTTAGTAATAGATAAAGACATTAATAACTCACAATATATTTAAGTAAATAAAAATACTTGATACACTTAATGATTTCATCAGTTTAAACATAACGACTAAAATGCTGAAGTTTTGAAGTACTTTTTTTCAAGTTGTAAACAGTCCATTTCAACATCTGGATTTAATACATAGTTTTCTCTAGTCAGTAGTAAATTTTTGTAATGGTAATCCAAAACAAAATAAAATCCATATCATAAGTTGTTTACGAACCTACTATCGTAAACAAAAAAACCCTAACAGTTCTGTATTTTGGATTTGACTAGAATTGATTTCCTTTTGTAACTTTTAGTTCCCTTTTTAATCATACTGGTTTGTGAAATCAGTTTATATTAATACACTGTTAAAATTATTTATGAGAATATTTTTCTATGAAATCAACTATTCTACTTATATGCAAATGTTTCTGTCAATGATTTTAGTGAATTTACATTTTTTTGGCATTTCATTGATTTGCATATAACTTTACGGACGGTTTCAGAATTTTATTTGTTTTGATAGTGATGACGATGATTAACGATGTAAAATAAGGAAGACAATCTAATGAAATAGAGAAGAAACAAATTGCCATTTAAAACAATAGGTATTCAGTTGAATGAAAGTTATTTAATTGGAAAGATTTAGAAAGTGAAACGTAAATGAGCATTTACAATTTTATTACTACGTAAACTATAGTTTTGCTGGTATTCTGTTGTTTCTGTAGCAAGCTATCCTATCATATTTCTTAACATTTGAACAATCAAAAATCATATTTAAGTAAAAAACTGTATAAATTTACATAGAAGCATAAGTCTGATAAGTGGTCAATAGAATCTTCTCATGTTTGTTACCTATGTTGATGTGAATATGATTAAAATTGATTGATTAGCGAACCTATCAAAAACTTGGAATAACAATTTTTTAGTTGATAAATTTGAAAGAGAACAATTCATTAAAATACTTCTTGACGCTTTATTTTTTATTACGATCATCTGTTTAACAGAGTAGTGTTGTTTGAAAATAAGTCACGTTATCCTAAATTTCTTGTTGTGATGCCTCGAGGAATCCACAACAAGTTTTTTAGAAGCCATAAAACGTCTGAAAGCATCACATTTAATCAGCAGATGCCACGAAAACTTCTAGGAAATTTTACTTAAATTGACATCTATACACGATGAATTAAGAGACCTCACCGTTGCTGCTACCTTGACGTGGTGGTCGGGTTTGCCTATCGTGAACCAATCGAGCTATACTGGTTAAAACAATTGTCACCTTGAAAATCGGTAAGCTTAAAAGCAGCAAACCTAAAGTCCGTAGGCGAAGTCGTACTCCTGACTGTACAGAGGTGTAACGGCAGTAAGGTGTATCCTTCAGACAACCAGCATAAGAGCGGTGCTGCCCTCTTAAAAGGAGGGGTGGAGTTAGAAAAATCGACCCTAAAAATGCACATCTCGCCTTATCCCACGAATTTCCATCTCCGTCAGTAAGCTTCCAATCAGTACGAAGCTAACACGAAAATTACTCACAAAACGTTTGTGCATGACCAACCTCAAACAGTTATCCCTTGAGCACTGCGGCCACGCTGTCAATTTACTAAAACCACCCCTAACCCATTTTCCTTTTCATGTACCTCCAGAAAAACCCTTCCACACGGTAGGCAACCAGAAAGTAAAAACCACCCTCCTATCTCGAACAGCACTAATCAAGATCACTATATTCATAAACAATCTCCCAACTCACAAGAATTAAGATAAATTTTACGTAGATTTTTTATCAATAGATTTGCAAACAAAAAAAATATTAGCAATAATAAACAGTATCATCTCCTATCATTTATATATTTTGCCAAGATACAAAAATATTTAATTAGATTAAATAATGAGATCAATTTATAGGCAATAAATCACAATTGATAATTTTATATGAAAACAGCAAAGAAAAGCAACTTTTCGATTCATTACGTTTCATTATATTTAAAGCAGCAATCATTGTCAATGTATTTGAGATGTACAATATTATCCTTTTTTCTTCCCGTCTTTCCTTTTTTTTCTTTTCATTAAAATTGTTTTCCCGTATACAATAAAAATTTGTCATCAGTGTCAAATTGTTTGAAATGTCATTTGTATCTAATCTACCTTGATCTTTTTCACCTTTTCTTAAAAGTTATCTATTTCATGATCTTAACTTTTGTTTGTTTGTTTGTTTTATTCAACTGTCAAACTTGTTTTGATGTAAAACTGTTTTTTTTTCGAAAAAAAATTAGTAGAAATAAACATCAATAATGACTTATGATGCAAAAAACAATTTTTTTTATTTTTATCTTCGAACATGTTTTCTTATGAAATTATTCCTTCCCCCCCCTCCACACCCACCCCATTTTCGTTTGATATATGTCAAATAATTGTGATATCTTGAAATAAATGTATTAGTTTATTTCAAAGTAAATCAGTGGATTGGTAATTAATTGTATAGAGGAGAAAAGATATGTTACAGTTCTTCCCAATGTGATCTATATGAACACTGCCTTTTTTTCATCTTAACCAGGATCTTGTAAGATAAGCCAAGAATTTATTACTGTTGAAAGATTTTGATTCAATAAATATATTCCCTACATGAGTTACGAGTGTAAACGTGTGATATTATATATATATACTAAGTAGGTTGGTTTTCAGGCGATAAAGAATACCATAGTTAAGAAGTTCAGTAAAAGTTTTGTTTTAACATCCTTGCTAAGAATCAACGTCATGATTAACTAATTAATTCTCATATATGCTCACATAGCAATCTTGAAGAATACCAATTACCTTGAAACACGATTGTCAAATGTATTATGATACCTTCTGGTAAACTGCTTGTGATCTTTTAATTAATGACCAACGTTTAAATTTTATTATATATTCATAAACTACTGGAAAAAAACATGTTTGTTATTAAATATACGATTACACTAAAGGACTATAATGTAATATGGTATCATGATACTTTCATAATATTTTATATTTCTAATAGTTCTTCGCTAATAACTTTATTTTAATGAAATAAAATAGTCCATATTTACGGACTTGTTAAGTTAAACCATCATGATGGTCATGAAATTAAAATTCGTCAGACAACTTACCAGTATTTATGAAAGAAAGACACAATTTTTAACAATGTAATTTAATTCACTTGGTATTGTTTACTTGAATTTTCCCATTGATGTTTAGGACTGCAATTGATCAGTCTCTTATTACCATATGTGCATCCTATGCGTCTTACCTCGATATTGTCTTAGTTCACAAACAGCTAAGTGAATAACGTGAAGACATTTGAAGTGAATATTACTGATTTCGAGTTTCAGAGTGAACATCAACTCTGATATGCAAGTACATCCAAATGACAAATCACCAAATAGGATGAAACGCGCGTCTTGGATTCCATTGCTAACCACTATCTATTTTTGTATATAATGTAATTTAATCCTGATAATTGCTATCGATATTTTTTTGCATTTTTTTCAAGGCTTCTAATAAAGAATAGCGCTTCAGAATTATTAACACTAAAATTTTCAAGTATTCATTAGTCTACGTTTTTTTTGTTGTTGTTAAGGAAATAAGCCTTTTTTCTATGTGTAAAAGATTGTGATTTGAACAAAGCAGTCTCTAGATTTACCTATTTTTTTCTTCCTAGAAATAATTAGTTAGCCAATTATTTAAGCTATTAGATTATTTAAAAAACGGTTGCTTACCTACAAAAGTAATTAAATTCATGAAAAATGCAATTAGAGCAATAAACTCCATTCTAAATATTATGAGCTTTGAAATTTTTACTTGGTTTGTTCGTTATTGATACACTGGAAGTATTCCTTAATAAGTGAATCCAATTTAATGAAAACCTGATGAAAATTATGGTGCGATAAAGAGTTTGGTAAGCCAACATAAATGAAAAGTAGTATCATAGTTTGTGGCAAATATTTCCTTACACTTCATGAATCTTTGAATAATGCTTGAATGCGTAGGATTTTGATAATACGTTTACTATCATAATAATGTAAACATTTTTTTGTCTTAGTCTACATTAAAAGGTGCCCAACTAAGTGATCCTGCTGTTGGTTGGTGGTACCAGTTTCAAGTGGCAGCAGTAAATCAGTGGGGTTCTCTTGGTTTTGACACTCCATCTCCACCTGTACAATTAACAACTCTTCAACCTAGCCCTCCATCACCTCCAAGAGACTTGGCCGACGAATTGTTAACACTACAAGCTAATGGAAAAATAAGAGTTCAGATTCACTGGAACAGTCCAGCAACTACCGTATTACCAGTTACTGAGTATAGGGTAAGTGCTTTTACTGAATCATTCAACACAGTTAAGTTTTAAAGTTATGTTACTAAACAACAAATAACAGAAATAATTAATCAACAATTGTTGACAGATTAGTTGTATGACTAAAATATATGGTAACGGAGTTTACTGAGGCTAATATTTTGAGAGATTAACATTACCAATATTGTCAGTTTGGTGGTTTGGGGAGGTTATTGAATATAATTAAGAGTATAAACTAGCCTAAGTCAAATAACTATTCAAAACTTAGAAGTGCTGGAAAGCTGTTCAGGAGCTCAACATTAGGACGTAAAAGCCGTCTAGAGCTCTTAGGTTTATGCTCTTAATAACCATTATTAATGTTGTTTGAATTAACTAATCTCTAAACATTATAAAGTACCGAGTCATATATTCACTACAATTTACTTGAGTAATTTCATAGGGTTTCATGATTTTCATTTTTAGACATTAAGATTAATAAAAGAAACTTAATTTTCCACAATCTGTTCCAGAAACTGTATTTGAAATTTTTGAAAATGAGAAAGCTTCAAATAATATAATCGTTCCGTTATTATCTAAAGTTTGTATCAAGCACATTATTGTTTAAAAAAAAAGGTAATAGTAATTCATAAGAGAGTTCACAATATCCATTAGCTTTCAATTTTTCCTTAGCAATATAAAACTATAGTTTTATCATATTTAAGCTTATTCTTTACCGTTATCATACTTTAAATATGACTTTTATATTCTATTTCTAAATCTTCCAAAAAATCAATATTTACATTTTACAACTGTCCACATAATGTAAACTTTGAGTAAACCGATTATTCAAGAAGATTCTTTCATAGAAATGTTCACGATAACTTGTTTTTTCTAACATGAATAAATTTGCTTGCAAATTGTTGTGATTTAAGAATATTACTGTTTTGTCAATCATAAGAGATAATGTTTTTCTTAAAATTCCTTCCAAAAATTTACATCAATCCTACGTTTAATTCATGACAAATAGATATAAGTAATGTAGTTCTATGGATTATCCATTTATTGACATTTTATATTTGATCATACAATAAACTATTCATATATCTCAATGAAATATTTCGGTGGTATCAATTTCAAGTGGCAGAAGTAAATCAATGAGGTTCCCTTAGTTTTGACACTCCATCTACACCTGTACAATTAACAACTCTTCAGCCTAGCCCTCCATCATTCATGAAGCTAATGTTGTTTTATTTTGAATATACAAGATTATTTAACTTTAAAGTATTTCTGATATGAAATTTTACGTCAGATAGAAATAGATTTCAATATAATTTATATATATATATATATTATTTATCATTATTCAATAGATCTCTTGGGGTCCTGATTCTGCAAATATAGATAATAATCATAAATTCACTGAATATCCTACTCAATTTGTACATACTGTTCCATCGGTAAGTTAACATTACGAATTTCATTATTGATTCATATAAATTATTGATGTTGATAGGTGAGAGTGAAGTTCATATCAAAATTATTAGACAGAGTAAAACAAAAAAATTTTTTTTAAAACTAAAATTAGATACTTAATACTAATAATTCAGTATGATGACCACTTGGATACTTTTATCCATTTTTTTTGCTCACCAAACTAACGTGTTGTTTTATTTCATATAGATATATCCCAACTACAAATTACGTATTTAGTGTAGATAAATGTAAAATGAAACTTTTAACGGACACACATATACACACCATTGTATTAGATTATATCATGACAGTTCACTATTGACAAGATTTTTGGTTAAATGTGTTAAAATATTCATTTGATAAACAAGAATCAAACAGATTATAGGAAAAACACAACAAATTAATTGCTATAATGTAGAAAATTTATTAGGATAATATAGTATTCACCAATAAGGTTAACATTATTGTATAAACTTTGGTTGGTTAGTGTAATTCATTAAGAATCAACAAAAATAGTGATGTAATATATTAATATATATATGTACCTGTCTACATGTATGTGCGGAAACACGTACATAGGAAGGAGCAATCGTGATTTGCAATTAAGGGTGGGTGAACACATACCAAAATGGTTGCAGAAACAAATGAATTCCAATGGCCAAATAAGTTCACAGGATAGACAGACATCATCCTCCATTGCGAAATATTTGATTGAGACGGGTCATAAGGTTGACATCAAATCAGCATTTGTAGTGTTATACAAAAGCCTTCAAGAACGTATACTAAGGTTTATTGAAGCTTTGGCTATACGAAAATTGAAACCCCCTTTATATGTTCATAAACAAATTGTCCTTACACTTAGTATATTACCATAAATTCTAAGATATCGGTTAAACCAAGTAAATAATCGTAGTTAAAACAACCTAATTAAAATCGATCTGTGATCGGTAAATAAACCCCAAACTATTAATTTAATATCTACTTTATTGAAATTAGAATCATATCAAGCTGTGTATACAAAATTTGATGTGTGCTAGTTAGATCTACATAGTTTTGGTGTAGTATGATACATGAGAACTAGTTTTCTTGCAGAAATAACTAATTGTTATTTAATGTTTTATATTAAGGGGTTGTATAGATATTTATAAATGAAGTTTTTCGTTGATGGTAGAATAGATATATGGCTCCGTTTTTCAATTTTTTCAGTCACAGTATTGCTAAATGATTAACAACAAATCTGTTGAACTTATACAGGCTTTTTAGCCTTTTAATTCTCCGAGTGATTCAATTAACATCAGAGTAACTGATATATTCATTGCACGACAACGGGAACATTGATTTTCTTGAAATTACATCTACATAAGAAAAAAATTTACTGCATGCCCGATAAAATACACCAGAATCATTTTTCTCAAAAACTATAGAGATGAAAGACAAGTAAATGAACTGACTACTGTAAAGTTTACTTTCACCCCAAATTTGTTTACTACATATCACATTTCATAGTTATTTTGAATAATGCGGTTGTTTTAAGGTTATCGAAATAAACAAATACTAATCTGTGTATCACTTGAATAATAGTTATTACTTGGAAAAAGTAACAGGCGATAAGTATTATGTACAGCTGTTTGACATTCCTAAATAGGCGTGTATTAGGAATCATGAATGCCGTGATGAATCAGTAATCAAAACCACATTTTAGATAAGTTTATCCACAATCATTTTATAAGCAAAAATTGATCCATAGAATTCAAATATTAAACATTTAGGTGACTTTACCGGAATCATAGGAAACACACTGTAGTGAAGTAGAACACAGTTGATCATATATTTGGTACAGAATTACAGAGTTACCTGATTAAATAGAAAAACCATACTCTAATACTTCATTTGCAAAATATTCATTCATTGTCCCAGACTTCATTGTTCCTTCATTTCCACAATAATCATTCACTATTCTCATTCTCTTTTCTTCGGTCTTCTAAACCTTCTGCTTACAAGTATTTGACTTTTGATTGATGATACATACTACTTAAATCTATAGAAATCAGTAGCACACACCACTATAAAATCAATGGCACACAGTATTTCTAAATGAATAAATATTTTATTGATAAATGAACATATGATTAATCTATCCAACTGATGAGATTGTTTCCACCTATTTGACTAATGTGATTTATGTGATAAAATAAATAATAAATTTGCAAGTGACATTATGTTTGTAACTAATTTCATAGAGTCAGGGTCCAGGGTTTCCTGTCGACTACCTCCAACCATTATCCAATCTCAATACATAGTGCCCGCAATGTCGAGACACCTAGACTGTTGGCCATATTTCAACATGGTCGATAGCATTCGATCTGCACTAAATAAGGACTTGACACGCATGACATTGGTCATCACCCAGTGATCAATCAATTGTGATTACATCTCAGTCCTACAGGAGGTCAGTCGCGGCCCGGATAGCTCAGTGGTAACGTCTCTGACTGTGAAGCTGAGTGACACGAGATCGAATCCGCCAGGGAGCACCAGTTCCCTAAAGATTACAGGTACACCTTGCTGACGAATGCAAAGTAGCACGAAACCCGAGTCCAGGGTTTACTGTCGACTACCTCCAACCACCACCTAAGAATCATTCATCTTATTATCATATCTAAAATCTTAAACTTTAATAAATACAATACATGAGAAATATAGAATCCTGTGGAAAAGATAATGCTCTATTTACCCACTTTATATTTTGTTAATCATATTGAAATAGACTTCATTACTCTCTTGAATAATCGCTGAGTTTTTTTTAATAAAAATTCTTCTTCTTTAGTCTCAAACAAATTATCAGCTGACAAATCTTTATCCTGGAGTACTGTATCGAATTGAGGTAAGAACTTTTCAGAGCATACATTTAGCTATAACTATCATTTGAACAGTTAAAATTGAAGAGATTGTATACGTTTTTATAACATGGTATTTTAAAAAACATCTTTGAAGAAGTTAAAATAGAACAAATTTTGAGGTATATTGTATCAATATTAGCTAATTATGAAGAAAGTATACTCTTGATATATTCTTCTATGAAATTATACTCCACTTTATATATGAAACATTCTCTGTTTTTAAAGTAATCATGTACGAACTTTTTTGAACATAACTGTATAATGGATATGAAATTAGTCTCCAAAATTTAATAACTAATGATGGGATACGCAATCAGCTGATTATAAAAAAATATGAAAAAAGGTGTTTACATAAATGTTGAATGTTTAACGATCATAAATCTAGTGTTAATTAGATAGCTTGATTTCCTTTTTTCAAGTCATACGGATTTCTAATATGGAACCAATATGTATTGATTTTTATATTGTGTAATTCAAATTATTTTTCAGGTAATTGCAATGAGTGAATGGGGTTCAACTCAACTTAGATCACAACCAAATACTTTGTTTATTCATACTCCAAACGTAGATTCAATCCAAGATCATAGAGAAGATTCCCTAATTGCCAACGTAAAGAAAATTGATGCAAACACTGTTCAACATCTAAAAAACAAGAAGTATTTGAACCATTATGATGAGTCATACTCTGAAGACCACCTTAGCCACAACTCAGGTAGGTCTTCGCAACGCAGAAAATTGGTATTCATATCAAAATTTTAGTCTTATAATACATGTATCGTTGTCTGACCCTATAAAGTATTAGAAATTCACTAGTAGATGTTTTGTTTTTTCATTAACTTGACAAACTGTAGGATGAAATGTTGATTTGAAGCATTCTTCAAGATGTTTTACCAATATTTTGTGACAACAAGTTTGAAATATTATTTTCAGGTGATGTTTATAATTAACCGAATTCTATATGTGGCGGGCTACTAGATTCATGGATTCCGCTGCATTATTTAGACCATTTTGTTTAGTATGTTGACTGAAGATTGCATTAAAAGCGTCTACACAAAAATACAATTAACCTGTTAGCCATTCTTAAATGAGTGATTTATTTCATGATGTACGGGTTTTGTACATTTTTTTGTTCAAACGTGTCACGTATTATAATATATGAGTTATGCGTAAAATTGAAAAACTTTGAGTAAACACTTACGGACTACATGTTTAGGATTCAGACAATAATGCTGAATTAGTTATATCCGTTTGTACATGTTGTAGTAGGGAAAAGTAAATGAAATTCCAAGCTTTCCACTGCATTTTACATCTTATCTAAGGTTCCAATTAATTGACTGTAATTAAATATTTCATTATTCCTATAAATATCCATTCGGTTACTCTTTCGTTTTTCCATTTATAAGAGTACTTTGTAGTTCGCTGTCCTTACTAAAAGTAGAGTATTTCTTGAATTGTTTGTAAATAGTAAATAGGTTGAAGTAATACTGTGTTACCCATTAGATTGGTTTCTTTAGTTTGTGACTATGTCCATAATATAATCCCATCTTAAATATAACCACTAGCTTCTTGTTAATTAAGTTACTTCTATGAAGTGATTTTATGAAAAGACTACAACACATAGATATTCAATGATAATCTGGAATAAATTTAAGTCCATGAATAGTTGGAAAAATGATCTTTTACACTGTACTACTAAAATTATTAAGATCTAATATACTGACTTCAGTAATATATTTAATTGAAGACGAAGATGTAAAATTTGAAGATCAATCTACTGTTTCTCTTGTTGTCTTCAGTTAAATTTGTATGATTCAAGTTTATAATTTTGCACCTAATAACAGTCATACACTTTAAATATGTTACCATGTCTGAATGAATAGCTTACTGTATAAAAAGGATAGTATACTTAACGAACAATAGATTTATGTAATAAATCATAATTTCAATATTTGGACTCTATTTAATATTATTACCTTTTATTATTTATCATTGTATAGGCAAATCGGATGTTTCTTTTGTTTGTAATGGAACTAGTAAAAGTTTAGTATTTAAAAGTTCATTACCATCTGATTCATCAATTAATCATATAAATATTAAAACTGCAGAATTATCAATGGAAACTGATGTAGCTGTCTTTGATGGACATGGTTTAATAACTGAACTCAAAATATATGAGTATGATTTAAAACAAACATCTAAAACAGAGTTAAATCAACAAACAAGTAAGTAAAATTATTAAGATAATTATTATCAGAATGGGAATTTGTAAAGATTGTAATAATGTTTTAATAGTTAGATTACTATAAAAAACCTAGATGCACTGTACAGCCGTTTCCTTCAAGTATAGAACTCATCACTAGTGAGCATTCACGATCGAAGGTACTGGGTTAGAGTTCTACGCGTGGGCTTATGGATATTAATTATTTAGGAGTCTCACATTAGGATGACATGGCCGTCCAATGCTTCCAAATCTTCAATGGTGGTCTACCTTCGATCGACCCATGAATTCAACTATTAGAACTGGGACATTCTAACTATCTTTTTAATATGACAATCCAATTTATCTTCATGTTTACATAAATCTTTGACAGTATTAATACATTCCATTAATTTCCATTGGAAATATCTATCTGTTATATTTCATTTAGTTATGATACTGTATGTAAACAATCAATCAAAAATCATGTTTAATTAATTAAGCAATTAACTACATTTAAGGCTTATTTTTAAAATGATTGTATTAAAGGTTATACCAATGTTTCTATATAGTACGCTTATTTAATGGTTATATGAAATATTAATTATTCTATTATCACCGATTACCTAATCGTGCCATATGTGTATTTCCCTTCTTCTGATGGTTAATAATTATTATTTACTTTGCTTGAAGATATAATGTAAAAAATAATTAAATTATATTTCAATGTAAGTCATTTATATCCATTTATCATCGCTTTTGTACGTTTGTGTTAACTCAAATGGGTTCATAATTATCATTAAAGTATTGTGGAGATTGATGAGCTTAGATTATTATCATAAAAGGATCAATGTCAGATCACCATTAAAAACCTGGAAGCACTGGACGGTCGCTTCGTCCCATTATGAGACTCCTCAGCAGTGCGCAAAAATGATTCGAACCTAGAACTTTTGGCTTTGCACACGAACGCTTTACCTCTACAACACTGAGCCGACATCCGACAGTGTTAATGTCTAACCTCAACATATCATTTATATTGCGCGACCATCCACCATTTTCTTCAGAGAGTAACTGACTCATAATAGACATGAACGAACTCCATTGGTTACGGCTTTTCATTAGAAATTCCAGGATTTCAATGATGATCCAACATTGATTCATTCATGATATCAATCTCAGTTCATAATTATATTTGATAAAATAAAAATGAATGATAGTTTACTATGTTAAAATCATTAAAATTATTGAGTCTTTACCATAATTTAAAAGTCCTTACTAACATTTTTGGAAATATAAACTTATACTACTGTCTTATAGATCATCCTTAAGAAGAGGAGAGTTCATCATGATAAATGTTATATTTGTAATATCGAAATAAGTGTTGTTTTTTGGAAAACGAATAAAATTCTTCAGGCTTTCAAAATATCAAATAAAGAAAAGAACAAACAAGATCATTTAGTCGATATATTCAAACTAGTTTATTAATGATATTGCTGTACTAATAGGATCTGGTTCAGTGTGTGAATATGTTTTTTGTGGATTTATGTCTATGTTAATAGATGTATTAGCTTAAAGAAACGTATTATAAGTTCATTTTTGTCTATATGAGAAAATGATTCTAGTGAGAAACAGTGACCAGTGGAGTTCAACCATGTTTGTTTTGAGATGACAACTCATTGAAAACAGCGGTAGACGGTGGTGCAATTTCGTGGATTTGTTGAAGTTAGACATTAACACCATTGGATTCCTGCTCAGTGGTCTTAAGTTTAAGCACTTGCGCGCGAGACTGGTTTCGAATCCCGCCGGGCGGATCACTAATGAACGCTGCTCAGGAGTCCCGTACTAGGAAGTAATGGCCGTTCAATGCTTCCAAGTTTTCCATGGTGATCTAGCTTCAGTTGACTCATGAACCCAACTATTACATTACTATAATATCCATAAAAAACCCCTTTCTGAAAATAAATTGATATTTATTATTCATTCAGAAAAGCATAAAATCAATGTTCTTCATTCAATCTCAATCATCCATTCATGATATACTAATGTACACTATTTCTGTTTTCTGAATCTAAGAGAAGTAAATAGTTCTGACATTTTAAATACTACTGTTTTAATTCAAATTAACTTATTTATTTTAGTGAGTTCACGTCCATTAATTGTTCGTTGGACGCCACAAGTTTGCATTGAAACTGTCATTGTCACTGGTAATAATATAGATGAAACAAATTCCTTTCAATCAGAAGCTTTAATAGCCAATAATATTGATCAATTTACTAAACCTTCATATTCTCAAATAGAAAATGCTGGACGGCGTAAAGAATCACTGAATTCAAATGAAAAATATATTTTATTGAATCCAGTAAAACATGGAGTCAACAATCATGTTGACGGTAAAAGATTCAAAAAGCCCATTTTAAGACATGCAACATTACAATTAACGAATCTTAACTTTAATTGTCGTTATCTAATTGAATTATTGTCTGAAAAACAAGAATCATCTAAACGATCGGACAAAAAAATTCACCCTGTCTATACATCTGGGTATAATGTTGAACTTTCTGCATGGTTGTGTACACCAGCATGTTCCACAGTAAAATTAGCTTCATGGATTAAAAAACCAAAGTGTTTAGGTACTACACAAGGTCAGTTGATAGTGAGTTATCTTTTATATGCATTTTTACCTTTTCAGCTTATAAAGAGTTCAGAACATATCGAAAGCAGCTGAATGCATGAAATACTGTAGTCTGCCTAAAGTTAGACATTTACGCTTTGTATATTTAGCAAACTTTTATCAAAACTTGTATTTTCTTAAATGAGCGGAAAATATCCACTTGGTAATTCATAAAAAGAGTATCTCTTCATTGAGGCTCCGTTGCTTGTTTTAATTGTACAGTCTAGATAAAATTAGCCAGCTTACGCATCTACAGAGATTCAGTTATCATTTTGGATTTATACTGGAATAACTGGTTGGAAAGTCATTACTTTACGAATGATACAGTATGAGGTCCTCATAATATGGTCTTAAACACCATTTAATAGTTAGCGTAAGAGCAACTGACTCTTTCCAGCATTCAGCCTTAAATAATTCCTAAAGAGGATATCATGTTAAATTACAAGATCTATAATAAGTTTTAAAGTAAATGAACTAAAAAGTACTTTCATAACGCAATAAAATATGGATGAAAAAGCCAAAAACGAAGCAATTAGAAGCGAGAAAGAAAGCATGCGAAATTCAGGAGAATGATGCGCTACAAATTGATTTACATCTTAAATACCTAAGCAATAGTAATATTATGATTAAAACTTATGTATCTAGTGAAGGTGAAATGTATTCACTGTACCAAATGAAACGATTAACTTAGAAATTACATCCCAAAATGTTACATTTAATCTATTGAAGATCATGCTCTTAACACATAACCAATCTATATTATTTGATTACATTTATTTGCTATAAACTTGAATACAAACATGTATATTTTACAGAGAATTAACTTTAACCTGGATGTAGTGACATCAGCATGATTAGACTTATTTGTATGTAACAGATAATTAATCTGATGAAGTGAATCAATTCAAAGAATGCTAATTACACCTTAAGAAGTGCTTTATTCATCTGAATTTCAACTTTTCTACTAATTGGGATACTGTAAAAAAATATAATTCACATTGTTACATTCTTGAGGCAAGATCCGGTTAAACATTTGTTCAGCTGAACTTGTTTTCCTTAGCGCAAACAGTTATATTATGATAAAATTTTGTAGAGAACGTTAGATAAAAAGGCAGTGACTAAGTGATATGTTCACTGGACAAAATAAAACGTTTTTATTTTGTCATAGGTCAAGTTATCTAAACTCTTCTATAGAATGTGATATGTTCCACCTAAAATCTTACTATACCCATAAAATAAAATCAGTTTGTTTAATGAAAGGTGTGCAGTCTACAAACAACTATTTACTGTTTATGATTGAAAAGTACATCAGCATGATTCACATGTGATGTAAATCTTATAAACTTCAGAAAAAGTATTTGTGGTAATAAATGTCTTTGTCTGAGTGTAAGTTAATGAAGTTAGACAAATAAAGTTTTTTTTCATAGTAGTATTTATTTTTCTGGACGTTACGTATGGAAAACAAAATAAGTATCAATTAGCATGAAAACTTTAGTGAAAGATACAGACTTTTCTAACATTCAGATGTTGACTGTTGAGATCTAGACTTTCAGAAGATGACAAAATCTCAAATGGGTAAGAAATACTATATCTCATCACTCCTAATATTTTTATCGTGGTTCATTTGTAAATGTTCCAGAAATATGATAATATTTAGGTTGATTGCTCATAATTACTATTTCTATAACTCAGTTTTAGATATTATAACAGAACCAAAAAATTTATCATATAAGCAAATATCGGTAACACCAACGATCAGTTATAATATATCTTGGAAGTCAGGTGCGCTTGTATCAAGATCTGGGAGTTATCAACAATTAACTACTCAAGAAATCTACAGTGACAAGACTAGTAAAATTATTTTCCCAGTGCACCACAGGTGAGATTTTTGAGACATTTTTTTTAGCTAAAACGCCTAGGTTTCATTGATTTACGTAACACATAAATTATTCTTAATCTAAAACAAATTTCAACATACTCCTAGAATTCATTTTGTATTGTTTGTTTGAATCTTCCCATTGATGTTCAGGATTGCCATTGATCAGTCTTCTATTAGCATATGTGCATACTGTTTGGATTGCCTCAATATTGATTTAAGTCAAAAGCATTATAGGCTAACAGTGGAATCCAGAATGCGCGTTTCGTTTCATTCGGGACTCATCAGCTGGATATGCATACATCCAACAGTTGATGTTCACTTCGTGACTCCAACTCAATACCGTTCGCTTCAAACGTCATCCCATTATCCACTTAGTACTGATAGTCGCTAGCTTGTGAAATAGGGTGAAGTTTTAAGTCGTTTTGTATTGTTCGTTTGAATCTTACGCACAGGATGCATATATACCAATAAGAGACAGGTCAATTATACTCTTAAAATGTTTAAATAAATCTAAGGATTTCTACATAATCTAGCCTCACTTTTGATTTTATAGAATATATCCTCCAGCTGAAGCGTGTGGGGAATTAGGTGTGTAGTACTGTGTGGTCATGCACTGAAGGAGTGGTATCTAGTATACAATACTTCTATATCTGAAGTTAATCCTTGATACAAATTTTAAAACTGGACCTGATTTTCACAAACCACCTGGTTATAAATATTTTTTGTTATCTCATTTAATCATAGTTACATGGAAGCGCCATAACCCTTACAACCTATAAGTATAATATTAAGACACTAATTCAGTTGTCTGACTTATCACAATAAAGATAGATTGTATGATATGTTACTTTTCATTGTAGACGTTCTGACAAAAAAATAAACATAAATTCACAATAACATTTTTTTGACAGTTTGCTCAATTATCAAATAGAGACATGATTATACATCCATTATTTTAGGCTTGAAATGAATTGATAATGTATTAGATAAATGATTGTTAATGACAGACATTTGATTAAATGATGTATAAATGTGAAATCGGCCGTTTCAAGTATGACAACTATTTTTGCATTGTCAGCTTTAACTAGCGAGTTTTTTTTTTAAAAAAAACAGATTACATTATCTCGTTAATAGTGTAGTCAATTATAAGCGACATTTAACTAAACATAAAGATGATAAATACAAAACTGATTTATTTCTAATTGATCTACTTTCATTTTTCAGAATTATCTGGGGACCAAGCCGAGATACTGCAATGAAATCAGTTGTATGGAAATCATGGCCAAATCTTCGACCTCGAATTGATCATACAAGAGCTGAAACAAAAGTATTACGAAACGTAAGTATGTTTTTGTTCTTTATAAAAAATAGGAATGATTAAGATGTTTAATTATAACATTTCAATCATTATCACTGTTTACTATTTACTAGATATCATATTTAACATGTTAAAATTAACAAAACATTTTGGACATCAGTTCAATGGAGTTTAACCAATACAATTATTTGAATAGTTTACAAGGATATTGTTATGGAAATATACATTTCATTTCATTTTATAATTCATATTGTTCTTATTCTGTTGAAAAATTATCAAGGGAATCAAATCTATGAAAAATATCATTGAATTATTTATGAAATTGAAGTTAACTAGCGAGTTAATTATTCTTTTCAGATCTAGTGTATGTGATAAGTGACATGTAGGTGTGAAATTCCATTAAATCTAATGTTTAAATAGGAGAATTCTCAACAGTAACAACAAAAACAAAGAGAAGAAATGAATAAATAATTCATAACATAGAGTTGTTTATATTCATAAACCAATGTATAATGTTATTGAATAATTTCAATTTAATTATTTCTTCTGAACAGAGTGAAACATCTATAGTTTTGGATAATCTTCTACCAAATACATTATATGTGGTTAGTTTACAAGCAATGACTGGAGAGCATTATATGCCAAATAATGATAAAATATATATAAAGTCTAAAATTAATAATAATAATAATGTGGATCATATGCAGAAAATAGATATGAAGCCAAGTCTTCTCTCTTTTCAATCAATGAATTCAAAAGATTTACACCAATCGAAACCATCAACACAATATTTAGGATCTAGTAAAGAAGTTTATCTGGTTTTTGAAACCCCTGAAGATTCAAATATATTCAAAGAAAATGGGAAATTAATTGATTCTTCAAAAGAATTCCGAAGTTCATTAGAAAATGGTTCATCAAGTAAGGCGAAATACATTTATATTTTATTATTATATCTAATACGTAATTATACATTCATACATTTTTATTCAAAGTATATAGTGAAGCTGATCAAATGTGTTGTATGTAGTTTTTATTTGTAATTGTGTTTTGCTATGTTATCCTTAATTTCTAATTCGTTTGTGTATTTAGCAAATATTTGTATTCAGCCTTTTAGATGAAGTTAGTATGAAATGAATTATCCTATGCAATTCATACTAATCATATTACCTGTTTGTTAAATTTCTTTGCATTCGCTTATTCAACACATGATATTATACATCCGTATGTCATTTTATATAAATTGAGTAGATGAAACTAGAAAAAGGGGATATTAAGTATCATTGTAATAAGCTTTTTTGTGTACTAAAAAGCTGTGGTTTGTTGAAACAAATTTGTTATTTTGATTGAGATCCTGAACCGATTGATGTTAGGCCACCATTAAAAACTTGTAAGCACTATTGTCGGTCTCCTTAGCAATGCGTATCCACGATCCGGCTTACGAGATTCGAATCCAGTGCCTTCGATCTGGCACGCGAACGTACTGCTGAGGAGTCACACAATAGAACAAAACGGTGTTTCCGGGTTTTCAGTGGTGATCTAACATCATTCAGTTCATGATCTCAATCAGAAACTCAATAATCTCCACAACCTTATACTGATGAATTTGTTGTTGTTGAAGTTTTTCTTTCAAACTTTTCATGATTTCAGTCTTTATAAACCAAGAGATCACATTTAGTTGATATTTACCTGCACATCTTATCCTTAGAAAAAAAATCCTTTTTTTAATATGTTAGCTTTATTAGACGTAGAAAGAAATACAGTACTATTATATAATATCGGTGTTCTTGTTTTGATTACATTAACCAGTAAAAATACATTAATTTAATGCATTTTCCAGTATCTCATTTTTGACTATCTGAGTTAGATTCGAGTTAACACGTTTAGCTTCACTTTACTTTTTATAATCATTTTGAGAATATAGTAAATGGTGACATGACTAGAGTATGATATTTGATCTGCTCTCAGCATAGTTTGTATTGAGTCAGTAACGGTCAAACGAAGAAAGATGATTTCCGGAATTAATAATATGAGTATTAGGAAGGAAGTTCGTATGTAATGCTATTTGAGATATGATGGTTAATCGACCTGCCGCTTAACATTACCAAATGTTTCTGAATAAAATATGTCCACGAAAAATATGATAATGCATCTACTCTTTGCACATATGCATATTATGTTGTTGTTGACACATTTGTTGTTATTTGTTTTTCATGATTTTCCTGAAATATCTATTTCGTTGAGTTTTTCAGTGCAAAAGAACAATGATGATGCCATCATCATACTTATTTGATAACTGTGTTTCGGAATCAACTTTTTAATCACCTGGATTGAAGTTTGTGAAAAAAATAGGTTACCAAGTGAGATAAAGATTAGACTCAATGTAAAAAACGAAGCAAAACAGGTGACGATGAAAAAAACTTCAAAAAATGTCAGATAACATGAAAATGACTTAAATGTGCATTTATACAACAATGAGTAACAAAAAAATTGTTTGCAAACCAGATGGTGTGCGGATTATTGTATAGATTATTCATAAAAAGTTTTAAACGCAGTCACTAATCTGAAGTTAAAAATTAAAATGATCCAAACTGTCATTAATCATTTAATCTAAGACTGACTAAATGTCAATCGAATTTTCAAGCTTGAATTCATGAATCAATTGAAGCTAGACCATTATGGAAAACCTGGAAGCACTGCACCACCGTTTTGTCCCAGTATGGGACTTCTCGTCAGTGTGCATTTACAATCCCGCTCGTGGATTAGTTGAAAATAGACATTAACACCATTGGATTCCGGCTCAGTGGTTTAGAGATTAGGCATTTGCGCAAGAGACTGATAGGTTTTGAGTTCTAACCCCGCGAGCGAGATTGCAGATGCGTAATGCTGAGTAGTCCCGTACTAAGCCAAAATGACTGTTCAGTGCTTCTAAGTTTTTCATGGTGGTCTAGCTTTAATTGACTAATTAATTAAACTATTACATTTTATTTATTAATTTCACATTTGAAGGGATTATTTTCAATGTATAATGCTCTTGAGACTATGAAAACATTTGTTATGTGTTGTATAAGAGTCATTGTTATTCTTTATTCTTTCCCACTGATACGATCCTTATTTTCTGACAATGTATTACGTTTTTTATTATTTTATTTTGTAGACGTACGCCAAACAGTCAAAGAGATAATCCACTATGCAGTCTATCTGGCTTTAATAAGAATTATATTAAATTACCAAATTTTAAATGTATGATCAGTTATAAAACAATAATTTAGAGATACAACTGTGTAAATTGCAAACTAAATCTCACTTATTTTCTATATACATGTTCTTTGAGGCTTTTTTTGCACTTATCTTACAGCATTTCTTTATATCACTCACCTGTATTCCTTTTTGTTAATGGAATATGACTTTTTATTTATGTCTTTTGTGTTTGATATCCGAATTGCCAAGCCATATACATGTTAAAAGTCGGAGTAAGGAGAATACAAGAAATGTGACAAAAATTGATAGATCTTCCTTATGAACACTCTTACATTTTAAAATCAATCAAATAATGTGGATTTTATTCAGTTCTTAGTTGTTACGTAATGAATGAAGTATGTATACCATTCATTTATTGAAGTTTAACCATGAATACAAACTATACTATAAATATTCTATGTGATAATTCTTATTCTTTTGTTCTTTTCTTTTCTAATGGAATGTAAATTATGCTATTCAAACCATGAATTCATAAAACTATTCACTTTAAGTTGTATATAAAAATCTTAATTTATTGATTCATTTTCTTTTAATTCACTTAATCTACATTATCTTACAAACATATCTGTGATATTGCATTTATTCTGTATAGTTGACAGTTCTTTCGGAATATTACTATTCTTAATCTTTCTTTTTTGGTTGGTTCTTTCTGTTTTCAAATATTTAACATCTATCAGATGTTAAATGTTGCCTTTCGTATAAATCTATTTGTATAAAGATCTTCAGTAAACATTCAGTTGAGATCTATACTGAAAGGTATAAAAGGCAATAAATAAATAATTATTACATTATATACAAATTTTATTGTTGATATTGAACATCATGTCATTTAAAACTAATTCTCTGATGATTGTAATAAAAAACGAATTATTGCCTAATATGATTACTTAACTTTAATTCACTCAAATAAAGGAATGATATAATGGAGAACTTTGTAATCTACCACTTTTTAGATGTAGTTTCGTTTACTTCTGACTGATAATACTCTATTTGCGTCAAGGTACATTCATTACTTCAGCGTTATAGCTATCTGAAGATATATATCGAATTTATGTAAATGAAATCAACTTTGAAAATGACAATGATGATTACATAAACTAAGGAGGTAAATAATCATACTTTGTATGCTTTACATAGCAGAATGACTTCAGAAAGACAAAAGCTGAAAATTGAAAATCACTGAACAGCTGTTACGAAATAGGATCCGTTTAACTTTGGAAGGGAATTTCCTGTATGACCAAAGTAGTCTAGCCCTATCGGGAATGAGACAAATATAAATAATGTTGATGCATGATAGAGGCGCAGTAACACAAACTGAATGCTTGTGAATCTAAGTAATTGGATGCCAACTCACTAGTTTACAGGCAAAATGTTTACTAAAGGTCTAAAGCCTCTCTGTTTGACTCCTAAAAATCGAGTAATGTCATAAAACCTTCCAAACTAACAAATGTACATTAAGTTCATGCATATTATTAAGGTGTTACCACGAAAACTAGGAATCGTTTGATTTATAATTTAATATTTTCACACATTTCGTTAAAGAACTTCAAGAAGGGTATTTATTCAACGAATATGTTTGGATTTTATAAAATGAAAACTTTCTATAAATTTCCGTATAATTAAGAGAATTTTGTCTTTGATGGTCAAACTACGGTGATCTTTTATTTTAACCATATTCTAAAGTGTACGCATCGGTTCCCACTCACATCAAAGACATCTAGATGAAGTCCAGTACATTTGATAAATGTTCGCATTACGATTTGATTTCGACCAGCACTAAGAAATAGACAGATGTAACACTGACTACTACTCCGTAATTACTCAGTATAAATACCTCAGTCTTACAGGTGGTTGATCGTGAACCAAAAATCTCAGTGTTAGCGTCTCAAATTGTATAAATAAGTGATCAGCGTTTGACTCCACGAAGTAGCCACAGTAACATCAATTTTTTTTAGATCTTGTTAATGTTCACTTTTGAAAACGCTTTTTAACAATCCAGATTTTATACTAGTATTTGTCAATATTCGAACGAATAATTTGACAAAAATTAAGCGCTAAGTTTAAAGAAGACAGTATGTGTGAAAATTATATTTAAAATAATCTCGGCAATTCAAATTCGAATAATCCCAACGTTTCACCTAGAAACTTGTCTAGACATCATCAAGATAACATGACTACTACGCAAAGTAGTATCAACCTATTCAGTTCAACTATCATTTTTATCAATAATTCAACTTATCGAATTATTTAGATTGAGATCATGAACCGATTGATGTTAGACCACCGTTGGAAACCTGGAAGCACTGGACGACCGTTTCATCCTATTGTGGGACTCCTCAGCAGTGCGCATCCACGATCCTGCTCACGGGATTTCAACCCATGGCCTTAAGTCTCGCGCGCGAACGCTTAACCTATTGGACCACTGAGCCGGCATCCAATGGTGTTAAGGTCTAACTTCAACCAATTATTTACTTGAATGAATAATGCATAAAATAATTTGTATTTGTGTACTGTTTATCAATAAGTTTAAGTGACTTCCAAAAACAGGAATTAATTCTAAATATAAATAGGTTGATATATTGGCCATTGGAATTAGCATAAATATTGCTTAATTATATGACAGAAGAATCATTTGTATTAGTAAACATTTAACTATACAAAAGATAATTATTGAAAATTAAATCAAAAAGAAACAAACAAACAAACTAGTAACACTTTCTTTATCATCTTCTATGTTAAATTCGATTTTAATCTAGAATAATTAGATTCTTCCTTCATTTGTCATTTAAAACTTTTTTTTAGATAAATCGGATTAAACTGTACTTCTATTAATTCATTTTCGACAAAATACAAACAAAAGTCTCTGTATAGAATGACTCAGTGACAAAAAAGAACTACTTCATTGAATCGGATGGAATCTGTAAATACTAAAACCAAAACAAACAAAATGAAAGTAGGTAGGAAAATAGATTAACCAAAAAAGTGATTAAGATTAATGATGGATTGTTTGTTTAGTAAAAGAATGTATTTTGTTTGGTAAACTTCATTTTTGTGTATAACTTGTCATGAATATAAGTCAGTTATATTATTGTTACATTCATGTGTTTTTTTTATCTATGAATAGATTCTGATTAACATTTTGTAGCCCAATTGTATACAAAAGGAATAACAATAATATTACATCCGGGATTTCAAGCGATCACAAAGCATTTCGTTGAAATGACAATCTCAGTAATTTGTACTGCTTAAATACATGTATAGAAATTTGATGCGCGGCATATATTGTATACATTTTTTAGTATTCCATTATGTTTAGAGTTGTTTCATGTTGTGGAATTTATATATAATTTGTTTGTTTGATTAGTAGCAACATGAAGTGGTTATGAAGATTATTAGCACAACATTCAACAGAACATCGATTTGCGATACTATTTAATATACTTAACTTTTGATTATATAAGGATCATTTGTTCAGGAACTTCAACAGAAACTCCTTCAATATTGTGGTCATGGTGAACTCATATCATTGTTCAATGATTACATTTAGATAATATACTATTTAAATTTCAACCCAAATGATTTTCAAACAATGATATTGGATAGGACTATGAAGTAATTCTAAATTATATTGTTGTCATAGTGAAAAATGAAAAATGAGACAAAGAATCAGTTCATTATAGATTTTTAGGTATTTGAAAATCAATGATTAAAAAAAAACCACTTCTAAAAGACTTCTATATGAACAACATTTATTGAATACATTTACATTATTTCTATAACATAAATCAATGGGAACTAATTAAAATGACTGTCAAATGTATCTCATCACAATGGATAATTTATTTCTTAAACTGACCTAAGTATAAAACATGACATAGACATAAAAAAACTAGTCTGGTTAAAAAAAGATATAATGAGAGTTAATTAAATGAAAAGCAGTTGTGTTTTACATGATTGAACAACTAAAAAGTGAATGAATTTTGTCAATGTAGAACAAATGACATCTAAAATCGAAACATTGACGAAATTTTCTAAAATTTTAAACGGTTAAATTAGTTGTCGGATGATTAAATTCGCGTGTGAACGCCTAATCTTTAGATCACTAGTTCAGGATTCAACGGTGTTAATGTCTAACTTCAGTTGACCCATCCAAGATGAAACGGTCATTCAGTACTTCCAAATTTTCGGTAGTGGTCTAGCCTACATCGACTCATGAATTTAATTACTGAAATATGATATTTACTTTACTCAATGAAATAACGAATTATTGAATCATTCATTGTTCCTTAAAAGTATTTGCCATTGAATAACAATTACAGTCGTATCCAATAGATCATGGACTATTATTGTCCAAGGGTAAATATATTTCAGCATGATTCAATGCCATTTTTCTCACGATTTCTATTCTATAAATAATATAATTCGCTAAGATTTTCTATTATTAGAAAAGATAATTGTTAATTTAAATGTTACATGCCAATTCCATTCTGGGAATCGGTAATGACTTTTTAAAATCCTACTAAACGGTTTTATGAGAGAATTCCATTTTAATATAGAAATATGTAAACTAATTTTGATGTGTATTGATTGACCAGATTTAAGTAGTTCAAATCTGTTTTTTTTTGTGGAGGTGGATATACACATTTATACATAATCAGAATGGGGATTCGTGAAGACTATAGTAATTTTTTAATAGTTGGATTAGTGAGTCGATCTAAGCTAGATCACCGTTGAAAACCTGGAAGCACTGAACAACTGTTTCATCCTAGCATGATACTCCTCAGTAGTGAGCATCCACGATCCCGCCTCACGAGATTTGACCCCCAGGATCTATCGGTTTAAATGTTCAATATTTAAAAGCAATCGTTATCAACATTTTCCAAAAGTTGAACTTCGTGATCTCATGAAACATGAAAAAGTCATAATCAAAATGTCTAAACTTATTCTATTTGTTAGAATAAATCTCAGAGCGTATATAATATACTTCTTGTATCAAACACCAATTACTAATAAACTATCAAAGATTCAGATTCCATCTTTGTCATAGTGCTTCCTCAGTTTCTTAGCATGCTAATTGATGAATTTTCTATCAGCAATATGTTCCACTATTAAAATAGAAAGTATTCACTTACATGGTAAACAAATATTACAAAAAATATAATATAATAATAAAATATACAATCGCTTTTTTAAACGCTGAAAACTTTGAACCATTCATAAGATGATCTATAGATAGATATTAAAATGCAATTAATCACGAATGAAATGATGTTCAGTATGGGGTTGTGGAGATTATTAAATTTTTTTATTGAGATCATGAACCAACTGATGTTTGATCACTATTAGAAACCTAGAAGTACTGGACAGACGTTTTGTCCTAGAGTGAGATTCCTTAGCAGTGCACATTCACGATCCCGCTCACGAGATTGTTGCTATCAAGACAGTTTACTCCCAAAGTTTTTAATAAAGTTTTCAACTTTTGTTATCCCTATAAAACTGTCTAATATGTAGTTTGTAACAATCCACTTTTAGTTAATTGAATTAACTAGTTAACTGCTGATTAGTTTATCTTAATAAGTACTCGATAAATAATGTAAAAGAATAAAACTTATTTTGTTCTAATCAAATTATCGTTACTTATGAAGTTGAACGATAAAAGCTCCCCATCATATTGAAATAATACTATATGAATGAAGAATATTCTTTTCAATAAGTCTTCTTCAGGTTCTACAAAATTGCATATCCAAATTAATAATCTGAAAAGTGGTCATTCATATAGTAGTCTTTCATACATAGATGCTGTAATGGCTTGGCTTAAATGCAAATGGAAAACAAATTACATTTTCCTATATGATACATAACGATTGATTTCACATTATTATCTACTTCAGATATATATTTTTGAAGCGAAATGTTTTTTGAAAATGTCACCAAATGCTTGACTGATGTGTCATATATCACGATTTGTCGACTAATCTGCTGAAATATTTGG